GGGAGGCGTACATTTCACATTCCCCATGTTTGCTTTTGTTTCTTGTGGCGTTTTTAGAATGTATGGGGAGCTTTGCTCCACTTACGAGAGCGCCTCGCTTCGCATGTTCCGTCTCGGGCGGACGGACACCATTCGCTCGACCTCCGTGGATGTGCTGAAGTTTGTCCAGTCCATGACTGCGGACAACATACAGGTGGGCTACTCAGCGTCCGTGTGTTTATCCGTCACGCCTGTTTTCTGGAATCCTTGAAGTTCACCATCTTTCTGAGATTCTTAGAAGCGCCTGATGGTTGCGTTTTGCGGCTGTTTCTTCCTTAGGATCAGGAGAAGGCAGAATTGTTGAGACGAGCCACCCAAGCACACCGAAGCTATACGGACATGGTGGGTATTATTATTATTATTATTATAATACATTGGGCACTGATGACGTGACCTAGTGGTGATAATGAAACGTCTGCAAGAAAACTCCCAAGCTCAGAGAGCACCAAGGGACCCCTCCCTTGCCCCCACACTGTCCCTTTCAGTGGCAAACCTCTGAGCAGCGACGTTGTTCCTTTGCGGGTTCCTCTCTCTCTTTCCCGTAGGCCATAAAGGGAAATGCGATTGATCGTCATCTTTTGGGCCTGAAGCTTCAAGCGATCGAGGATCTGGTGAGCATTCCTGAACTCTTCATGGACACCGCCTACGCCGTGGCCATGCACTTCAACCTCTCCACCAGCCAGGTGAGCTGGCGTTGCCGTGGATCGGGCCCTTGGGGGTTGGGTCCTTTGGTGTTATCGGGCGCTCATGCATGGCCTCCAAGCCGTCCCTCGTGGTGGATTTTTGGAAGTTTGCAGATGGTCCTTGTCTTATGACCATAATGGAGCTTGCCCATCAAGGTTTTAAGTGGTGACGGTCGTACATGGGGTCACCAGTTTGAGGGGGTGGGAGAAAAGCCAGAATGGGGGAAGGACCCCCAGTTTAAATCATCCGTGTTTATTTAATTTACTTTTAATTTTGTATCCTGCCTTTATTATTTTTACAAATAACTTGAGGCGGCAGACCTATCCAACACCCCTTCCTCCTCCCATTTTCCCACTACAACAGCCCTGTGCTGTTGTAGCTTTGAGAGGGATTGACCCAAAGTTACTCAGCCGGCTTTCATGCCCAAGGCGGAACTAGAACTCGCTGTCTCCTGGCGATTGGCCCAAGATCATCCAGTTGACTTTCATGCCTAAGTTGGGACTTGAACTCACCATCTCCTGGTTTCTAGCTCGGTACCGTTAACCACTAGACCAAATTGTCCTCCCGGCAGGTTCCCGCCAAGACAGACTGTGTGATGTGTTTTGGCCCGGTGGTGCCAGACGGCTACGGCGTTTGCTACAACCCCATGGAGGAGCACATCAACTTTGCCGTCTCGGCCTTCAACAGCTGCAGCGAAACCAACGCTGCCCGGCTGGCCCATTACTTGGAACAGGCCTTGCTGGACATGCGGCTTCTGCTCCAGTCCACCCCCAAGTCCAAACTTTAAGAGGGGGAAGCCCTGGAGAGGCGAACTGCCTGCTCAACTTACTGTCAGCTGGGTGGCCTTCATCCTGACCCTGGACTCCCCCGAAGGATGGAAGACTTTTCGTTGTTGCGTTGAGTTTGCGGGACGGAAATGAACTGCACCACTTAATAGGGGAGATACCCCTGCCTCATCCGCCTTCCTCTCCCTGCTCACCTTTCCTCCGTTCACATCAGTCTGTGCCTTAAGAGCGTTTTCGCAGGGAGAATGGGGAGGGGGGGCTCCTGAATTGAAGGGGATCTTGGTTGGATGCTGGCTTGAAAGAGAAGGTCTTGGCTCAAAGCCTCCTGAGAATTTTAGCCCGGGATTTTGCACAATGTTTTTTCTCCACGTGAATAGACAAGTCGATTTCATAGCATCCGTCAGTATGATGGGCTTCATGGTAGAGCCATTTTATTGTCTGATGATATTGCTTCCTCCTTCCCTTTTCTTCTTCCTCCCCATCATCATCATCATCATCCTTTCTCCTTGTCCTTCTCTTCCTTCTCCATCTCGTCCTCCTCCTGGACCAACGGCGGAGTCTTTGATCTTACAAAATTGGCCCAGAGAGTTGTCCTGCTAGAGTTGATACCGTACTAAGGAGCATTTGAAAATGCCAACATTGTCTAGGATTTTCTGTGCCAATAGATGTTATTTCATTAAATGATAAGCCTTTTGTTTTTTAAAATATATATATATATATATTTGTTGGGAGATTAGCCCCCGATTTCTTTCAGTTTTTTAGCTTCCTTTGCTGATTGGCTATTGCTGGCTAGGATTCTGGCTACCCAAACCAGGATAACTATTTTAAGTCACAAGATGTAAACGTAAGACCGACAGTTGTGGCATGGCAAAAAGCCAACCTTCATGCCCGCATTTTGAATAATAAAATGTTTTAAGTTTCTAAGATGAGGGAAAAACCAAGATACAGCTTTTCTTTTCCTTTCCTTCCTTACATTCTTTTCCTTTTCTCTTCCTTTCTTCCTTGTTTCTCCTTCTTTCCTTCCTTCCTTCCTTCCTTCCTTCCTTCCTTCATGCTGTGCTACCAACACAGCTCAGTGGCCAACATGTTGTAAGAGAATTCATAGAGTGCCAAATTAGATTTGGGTGATGAGTTCCTTCCAGAAGGATGAGGGAAATTCTCCCCACAGGTAGCATTTGCCAAGATGTTCATGAGATCCGGCGACTTGATGGAAGCGCATCAACCGAAACTCTTTGAGTCACAGAAGTGCCTTATATTGCCTGCTTCCAGGGATAAAATGTAAAGTGGTTTACAAGTTGTAAGTTGATACGTTAGCTTTAAAGTTTTTAACGTGCTGTACATTGAAAGGCAAATGTGGTGGGTAATTTTAAATATAGCGTTTAGAGCAGTGTTTCTCAAATCTTAGCAGCTGTTAAAATAGGTGACTTCAACTCCCAGAATTCCCCAGCCAGCCACACGGCTGCTGAGGTTGAAAAACACTGGTTTAGAATGGTTTTTTTTTTATAAATATGTAAAAGTAATGAGAATTAGAGACAGGACAAGGATGATCCACGCTTTGTGCCACATTCGTACAACATGCTAAGCTTGCCAGTTTCAACCTTGTTTTGAGTATTTGCAACCGTTCCTGTTGTCTGAATTCAACCTTTTTGCTTTTCTGCGTTCCCGCGCTCAGAATATGGGTTAATTCGGGCACCCCTTAAATAGGGAGATTCCCAGGAGTCCCAAATATGGTGCCAGCTAAGAATTCTGGGAATTTATTTTTTTTTAAATATTCCTGAAAAATCTATGGAAGCTGGTCAGCAAGTTTTAAGGTCTTAAAGCAGCCAAAATGTTGCCTGTCCTAATAGAGATTTTGCACCAAAATGTTGCCTGTCCTAATATTATCCTAACACAACAGAGATTTTGCACTGTTTAATGAAGAATTGCCAAATTCTTGCTTGTTTGGTTTTTTAGCACTTTGGCCCAATGCTTGTGTGATTGGACTGTAAATTGTATTACACTGATTTTTAGTAAGATGCCTTGCTCTTGAAAGACGCAGAGAAATGGAGCTATATATAATAAATATAAATATATCCCAATTAAAAGATGGGAAAAGAACGCCGTTCAGATCTTTCTTTCCTGAGTGAATGCACAGATTCCCCTCCTGGTTTATAACAGCCCATGATACGATCTCCCCAATCAAGGCTTGCAAAAGCGCCCATCCCGTCCCATTAGCTGCAGGAAGCACACTCTCCCAGGCGGAACGCGACCATAAAAACACGTTTATTGAGTATTTAAAAGTTTTGAAGGGGTGGCGGGGGGAATCATTTTAAACAAGCCTCCTTTCGCGAGGTGCATTTTAATTCCGCTGGACTACAATCCCCATCGCTCGCCACCGAACACGGGGGTGTTCCCGTTGGTGGGCCTTCCTCAAGCCAGCAAAACCGAGTTTGGGATTAACTCTGGATCGGAGGAGTGGAGAGAAAGGGAAGGGAAGGAATTACAGTCATGGGATTCAGCACTCAGAAAGAACCCCCGTTTAAGTAATCTCAGTACCAGGGTCTGATTAAAAAGAAAAAAAGCATTGTGGATTTTATTTTATTTTTGCTGCTGCTGTATTGATCAGCACATGCAGATCCTTTAATTAAGGTTGTCGGGTTGCTTTAGTGTGTAGAAAAAGCACTTTTATGCACAGAAATCTGCAGACTGCTTAAGCCGAGAGGTCCAATCTTGGAGACTTTTAAGACCTGTGGACTTCAACTCCCAGAATTCCCCAGCCACCAAGGCTGGACACCCCTGGCTTAAACAAAATGCAGAATTCCCTCTCTCTCTCTTAACTTTTTATTAATTTTGCCCCCGACTCTTTTTCAGTGGCAGTAAGCTGGCCGCTGCCCCCCCCCGAAAACCAGCCTCAAACCGGCCTCCGCCGATCCCCTTCGGCAAACTGGACAACCCAGGATTATATAAATAGTGTGTGGATTGCATGCTGCAAATTGATTTTTTTTTTTTTGTTCGTTAAAAAAAGAAATTCAATAGAAAAGTCACAGAGCTGTATCGGGCGTGTCCCCCAAGGCGCATGTGGTCCCTCCAGGCCCCAACTTAAATATTCACAGGTCTTAACCTACCGACCGATGTCTGAATCAAGCTCGGCTGGAGTGGATGGACTACGCCCACGGCCCGTTTCGCCCCCTCAGGCCTCTCCGCCCCCATCCAAATTAGCGGTGCTTCTGCCCCCCCTCCCCAAAATTGCTTCCTGGTGCTTCCCAGGGTAGCATCCGGTCTAACGCTATGCGCCTGCGATATATAAATGGGGTTTTTGCTCGTGGATGGACTCGGCATGCAGCAGGATTGATCCAGCGCATTGGAAAAGGCCTCTGGGGTCTTCGGTGGTGGTCCCTGCCCGATGGCATCG